GCAGATTATCACTGTGGTTCCTCATGGGCGGGGCCAACAGAGGGCATTTTCTTTGCTGCTTTTTGTCTTTTATATTTCTCTCCCTGCTCATCTCTGTTTTGGTTTTCTATAAAACCTACTGCCAACAAGGCAATTCCTGAATTTGAAAAGAGTGAGAAGTTAGTACTTGGCCCAAAATGGCATAAGGGGTCAGAGGCCACATACCTAAGGCAGGGACCCCTGGGAACAAAGTGGAGGGGAAGCCCAGAGGTGGCATCTTGCGTTGCCTGACCCTCTCTCTTCCCCCACCAGTACCACAGCAGCCTGGCTTCCCTAAATGGGCTGGAGGTCCACCTGCATGAGACGCTTCCCAAGGACGCAACTGCAGGGGGTGGCCCGTACAACTTCACACACTTCGACAGCGTGCAGAAGGTGCTGACAGGTAAGGCATGGGCACCGCTACCACTGCAGGGGATGAGAGTTCCCAACCCAGCTGAAGCCAGATGTGCCAGCATCGCTGCTGCTGAGGACTGGCCTCAACCTGGCCGATGCTCGCTGGGGACAGGGGCAGCCTGGACTTTGTCCAGCAGGCTCAGTCTGTCTTCCAGAACCCTATGGGCATGTGGGAGGCCCTGAGGCATGGAAGGAGAGGACCGGCTGTCATTGTTTCTGTCTTCCTCCCAAAGCAAACCTGCCTCCGGTGGCTACAGCCCAGGACCGCCGCTTCCTCCAGGCCGTGGGCCTGATTCATTCCGACTTTGCAGGGCGGCCCGCTCTGTACGAGGTGACCGTCAGGTGAGCCCCCCTCACGTGGCTGGCTGCCTCTGGTCAGAGTGCTGCTCAGTGAGGGGGACATTCAGTCCCCCACGCAGGGCCCCTTTCTCTGCTCCTGCTGTCCCCATCACTGCTCTCCTCTGTGTTCTCTGAACCCCCCTGGGTGAGTGAAGGGGCCGCTGCCCACCCACCACTGCCATCAGCCTCCCCACAGCACAGCTCCAGGCCACAGTCACCGGGCTGGCATCTGAGGGCAGGTTTGTGCCCACAGCCACTGTTTTGAGAACTGGTTGTGTTAGTTGGGGTGTGTGTGTGTGTGTGTGT